ATATCAAAATTGTTCCAGCACCATATTTTGAAAAGACCATTTTTCTCTGAATTACCTTTGCTGCTTTGTAATAATAAATCAGTTGCCAGGTATGAGGGTCTATTTCTATTTATTCATCTATTTGTCTATATTGACACCAACACCATACTGTCTTGATTACTATAGCATTGTTAATTTTGAAAATGAATAGTGTTAGCTTTCTAACTTTATTTTTCTTCTTCAAAATTTGTTTGTCTATTCCAGGTCCTTTGAATTTTCAAGTGAATCAATTAATTTCTACACTCACCCCCAAAAAACTTATTGTTATTGAGCTGGATTTGTAAATTACATTGGAGAAAATTAACATCTTAATACCACTGAGTCTTCATCTGTGGATATGGTGCATCTGTCTATTTATTTAGACCTTTAATTTCTCTCAGCAATGTTTTCAGTTTTAAGTGTATATAACTTTCAATTTTTATCAGATTTACCTCTCAGTATATCATGATATAATGCTATTGTAAATGGTATTCTCTACTTTAATTTCAAATTGTTTATTGGTAGTATATAGAAATACAATTGCTTTTTTATATTTATCTGATATTCAGCAAACTTATTAAACTCACTTTTCAGTGCTAGCAGCTTATTTGTAGATTCCATCAGATTTTTCTACATGGACAATCATGTCATTTGCATATAAAACTGTTTTACTTTTTTTTTTTCCTAATCTGAATGCCATTTTAAAATTTTTCTTCCCTTATTGCATTGGCAAGAATATTCTAGTTCAATGTTAAACAGAAGTAGTGAGAGAAGATATCCAATTTGTTCCTGACCTTAGGGAGAAAGTATTTAATTGTTCCCCAATAATTATGACATTAACTGTAGGTTTTTCATAGATGCCCTTATAAGGTTAAGCAAGTTTTTTCTATTCCTAGATTTCTGAGAGTTTATATCAAAAATGTATGCTGGATTAAGATGATCATATGGTTTTTCTTCTTTCAGTTTGCTATTATGATGAGTTTTGTCCCTGTAATGCAAGAATAGTTAACATTCAGAAACAATCAATGAAAGTCATCACATTCACAAACTGAAAAAAAACATAAGCTCATCTTAATCCAACATCTATTTTCTATGCTGCTAGATTCAGTTTGTTAAAGTTTAGTTTAAAGTTTTTAACAACTATATTAATGAAGGATATCCATTTGTATTTTTCTTCTTTTTGTAAAGTATTTTTCTTATTGTGGTATCAAGTTAATCTGGCTTTACACAATAAGTTGGAAAACAGCCCATCCTTTACAATTTTCTGGAAGAACTTGAGAAGAATTGGAATTATTTATCCCTTAAATGTTTGACAAAATTCAATAGTGAAGCCACCTGGGCCTGACATTTACTTTCTGGGGAGATTTTAAATTACCAATTTAATTTTTTAAATTGATACAAGGCTATTTACATTATGCATTTATTTTTAGGTGAGTTTGGATATTTGTATCTTTCAAGGAACTTGTTCATTTCATCTGAATTGCCAAACTTATCAACAAAAGTTGTTCAAGATATTTCCTTATCATTCAATATTAAATATTGAAATATCATCCTTTTAATATTTAATAGAATATGTAGTGATTATGTTTTCTCTCTCATTCCTGATATTGGTAATTTGTGTTGTCTCTCTTTTATTTCTAATCTGTCTGGAGGGAATTTATCAATTTGATTGATTTTCTCAAAAAACTAACTTTGGATTTTATTGTTTTATTTATTGTTTTCTTGATTCTTGAAGTAAATTTCTGCTCTGGTTTTTATTATACCCTTTCTTCTACTTACTTTGTATTTAATTTGCTCTTTTTTCCTACTTTCTTAGAACGGAATGTGAAATTATTGATTAGAGAATTTTTCCTTTTCAATACAAGTGTTTAGTGTTATTAATTTCCCCATAAGCATTGCTTTAGGACATTCTACAAACTTTGATTTGTTGTGTTTTTGCATTTTCGTACATTTTAATTTTTATTTTTCCTTTGATCTAAGGGTTATTTATAAGTGTGTGATTTAGGTTCCAAATATTTGGGGAACATTTCAGAGATGTCTAGATTGTTTCTAACTTAATTCCATTATGGTTAGAGAAGACTGGGGGCAGAAAGGGAGGGAAACAGGGAGCCATCACTAATGGGTATGGGGTTTCTTTTTCAAGTGTTGAAAATGTGCTAAAATCGACTGTGGTGATGGTTGCACAATTAACTCTGTGAACACACTAAAACCCATTGAATTTGCACTTTAAATGGGTGAATTAGAATTACAGTTGACCCTTAAAATACACGGGGGTTAGGGGCGCTGATTCTCTGCACAGCCAAAATCTAAGTATAACTTATGGTTGGCCCTCTATACCCACAGTTCTGCACCCATGGATTCAACAAACCACAGATCCTGTGGTACTGTAATATTGACTATTGAAGAAAATTCACATGTAAGTCAACCTATGCAGTTCAAACCAGTGTTGCTCAAGGGTCAACTATGTATCTTAATAAAATTGTTTTTTTAAAGAACGCAGTTATATATTATATAAGCTCAAATTAATTAATTAATGCATACAGAAAGCAAAGGAAATAGTTGAGCATCTTTAAACAAGTACATTTAAAAATATATATATAGTGGAAATTAGATTATGTGTCTACATTATCATTGACATAAAATTCAGAACCTAATCAATAAGGTTAAATCAATCACATTAAAATGAATTAGCTAATAAGATTTGACTGAAAGGTCCAGATTTTGGTCAATATTATGCATATTAATTATGCATGTTATGCATATTTTATGCATATAAATAATTCCTTCAGGTTATGTTAAATGGCTATAAATCTCTAATTTTTGTCCTTTAAACACATGTCCCTTTTTATTTCTTTTTCTTCTCTGATTGCATGGCTTGATGAATTTTCACAAACTGCACACATTTGTATAATTAGCAGCCATGTATGGAAACAGGGCACTGGGGCACACAGAGACTTTTCTGTTCCTTCTAGTTCTATTTCCCCCCACAAAAGTGATTCATATTCTAACTTCTAATAGCATAGGTTAATTTCATTTGTTTGTTTCTTTTAGCCTCATATAATTGGCATTAAAATCTATACACTCTTTTATGCCTCATTTCTTTTACTCAACATTAAAGTTCTGAAATTTATCCAATGTGTTGTATTAATCCCATTGAATTCTACTCTATTCCACTGTATGGCACTAATCCCATTGGTGATGGCATTTGGTAGTTTTCACTTTGGGGTTATTAACTATAGCATTATGTATTAAATATATGATGATCAATTAAAAATAAATAGCAGAGTTGAAATATAAAGTTTAGGAAAGCTTCAAGAAAGGAGAAACAAAATCAAAAGAAAAATGTGAGAAAAAAATAAGAGATCTGGAAGATAAATCCAGGAAATGCAACAAACAGAAAAAAAACAAACAAAAGATTGAGAAGATGAAGCTATTTTAAAAATAAAATAAGCAAAATTTCCCCAGCTGAAGAAGAAACAAGCCTTCAGATTGAAAGGGACTACCCCTCAATAGCAGAACAAATGAAAGAAGAGCCATAATTAGACATAGAAGTATGAAACTTAAGTACTTCAAGAATAAAATCATCCTTGAGAGTAGGTGGGTAGGTGAAATGGGTCAAGGGGTCAAAAGATTAAAACTTCCAATTATAAAATAAATAATTCATGGTGATATAACATACAGCATAGTGACTATAATTAATATTGTATTGTATGTTTGAAAATTTCTAAGAGAATAGATCTTGAAAGTTCTCACAAGAAAAAAATTTAACTATGTGTAGTGATGGATGTGAACTAGACTTATCGTGGTGACCATTTTGTAATATATACATATATCGAATCATGTTGTAACCTGAAACTAATATGTTATATGTCAATTACATCTCAATTTTTAAAAAACAGAATAAAATCATCCAGAAAGAGAAAAAAAAGTGCTATGTTCAAAGCAATGAGAATCACATTGGCATCTCACTTTCCAACTGACATACTACAGGTAGAACACAATGAATCAATGCCTTCAAAAATGTAGAAAAAGTTACTTTAGCCCCAAATTCCATATCCACCCACATAGTTATTAAATCTGTTGATAAGATAAAGATATCATTAGACATGCAAAGCATTAGAATATTTATCTCCTACATATATTCTCTCCATAATTTATTGAAGGATTTACTCTGAAAAAAAAACAAGAGTGTAAACATAAAAAAGGAAACAAAGGATCTAATCAAGCAAATTAATAAAAGGAAGGCCCAGCATTCAAGGGTTCAGCAGGTATAGAGAGCAACCAGGTAAGACCCCAGGAAAGCAAAATGCAATACAAGATAGAGTCCAAATATAAAGAAACTACTCAAACTGGAAAAGGAATTCAATGACCTTCAATTAGTGGCATGAAACACAGTCCAAACAGTACATACAGCAAAGCACAAAGATGACTCCTAAATTTTCTACCTTTAGAATCAACTTTTAGGAAAAGCTAAAAAGACAATTATGGTTACAAACTATATTGCCATATTTATCCACTTGGCAATATGTTTGTAAAGGTACAGGGACAGCTGCTGGGAGATAGAAAGAGGAGGAAAGGTAAAGTGAAAGACAAAAGAAAAATTATGTTCTTCTTTCAAACTGAGAAAATAAAAGACACTGATTGAATAATAAATAGAACTTTGAATACATAATTTGTGCAGAAATATGGACTCACTACCCCTCAACAGTACAAAATAATGTCTTTTGTTTTCTAAAATTGATCTAATCTTTCTAACAAAGTTCCTGCTAAACCCACTGTTGTCAGTTTAAACTTGTTTCTTTTGAATAATTCAGTTTATTCGAGGTAAATGCCCAATCTTTAAGGTTTCTTCCCCCTAATTTACTTTCCCTCCCTCCAACCCTAACTTCATATGGAATCTAGTAGGAGAAGGTTGGTTGTCTCAGCTCCTGTACCACACTCCGCTAGGTCCCCGGGCCTCCCCAGTGCTGTTCCTTACTTACCTGGGTACTCATTGGCTTCCCCTGCTAACGTTTGCGATGAAGAATTGTGTCTCGTTCTCTTGGCTCTGTAGGGCCTGATGAACTTTCCTTTTTGACTTAACCCCACCTTTCTCTCTGGCTGACCATTCCTCCAGGTCTCAGCAAAGCCCCACTCCAGCACCTGGCTTAGTTCACACTCAAATCTCCCCGCTGTTGCCCCCAGAGCAGGACAGCTGGTTTTCATCTCAGCTACATCCCTGTTCCCACAGGACATAAGGAACTTGTGAATCAATTCTATATCACAAAGTCTAATGACATTCTTTCTCTCTGTAACCACAACAAGTCTCCATGTGTATCCTGCTGTGTTTGTGCACAAATACATTTCTGCAGACCTCACTCTCTGGCTTTCCCTCAATCACAGAGGACTCCACCCTCCATCCCCAGGGCTGGGGAGCCAGGGAAAACAGGTAATGTAAACAGGTGTTTCTACTGCTTCTCCCCCTCTTCTCTGTACCACAGTCTACTGACTACAAAGAGCTTTCATTTATTCCCCTTTTGCCTGGCATGAATTCCATCTACATCATATTCTCCATATTCCATCTGACTTCCACCCCTTGACCTATGATATAGGAGAAAAAAAAGGAATAAAAAATATATTATTTTAATGGTTTCAAAGTAGCTGACTACCTACATAAATTTAAGAGATATTAAAAAGAGTGGTATATGTAACTATATTTGGGAAGAAAAAAAGCATGTGCCAGAAGAACTGAAACAAAGAAGCTTAAAAGTATTACTTTGGGTGAGAGAATTAGAGGTGAGAGGGATAGGGCATGGACTATTGCTTTTTATTATAAATCTCTGTGTACTATTTAACACACTATTTCACAATCCAAGTTTTTATTTCTTTACTCCAATTATGCCATGAATTCATCAGGAATAGTTTCCAGCATTTCAACCTCCTTGCCATCGATTCTTAAAGGGAGATTCTGTGGGCAGAGCAGGCTGGCACTTCAATTGAACCTAGAGACCCATTTCTTTGTCCTCTTTTTATGATTATTTTTCTTCATATATTTTCAAAATATATTTCATATATTTTGGGAATCTATCTCAACTCTTAGAGGACTTAACATGTTCAATACACATATTAATTTTCTTATCAAGAATTTTGCCCATAATTTAACATTATAAATCCTTCCAGCTTTACCAAGGTAATATTTGTGGAGCAGATGTTGCAGGACTTTAAGAAAGTTATTTAATTTTTCTAATCTTGGTGTATCCTCTATAAAATGGGGATAACATGGCAGGCTCAATTAGAGGTACTGGAGATACAAAGACATATCAAAGCTAAATTCTTGCATCTAAATTTCTTGTATGCTTGACTAATTATTTCATATTCTTGAAACAAAAAAAATTAACCATAATAATTTTTCCTGCTAAATAAGGAAAAAATTTAAATCACATTCAGGTATTCCTTATTTCAGAATATATTCCTTTTATTGTATTTTGCATTGCTGATTTTGTGTATTTACTTTGTTTTCTCATTCAGAAATACAATTTTTTTCTTATATTAGATCACTAAATTAAGTCTTCTTTATCCATAATAATCTTATCATTATCCTTCTTCTATCATATTATATTTCACTTCAGGACATCTATCAAGTTTGTTTATTATATCGCTGATTTAATTTTATATAATATTTATTCTGTTCTTTAGTGTTTAATGCAGATTTCAATTCTATTTTTAGCTTTGTACTAAAAATTGCAATATTTTCTTATCTCCCCAGTTTCTTTTTTTACTTCCACCTTTTATATTAAATGGATAGTCCCTTGCTCTTTTCATTAAGTCTAATCCCTTGAATTTTTTTACTAGCTCCATGCAGATAGTTTTTAAAATGTATTTCAATTTTTCTGTAATAAATCTTTTCCAAGTATATGTTTTTACCACATCTTCTAAATTATATTCCTTTTAATGTTGAAAAGTATTTCCATACCCTCAGTTTGTTGGGGTGTTTTTCTCCTCTGTTGACTCATCCTACAATAGAGAGTGATTTATCCAAGCCAGATGTCAGCCAGAGGGCTGAGGGCTCTTAGAACCATTTGCCGACCACCTGGTTGCTATTAGAACCTGATTCCCAGATATAAAGTTTCAATTGGAGGCTGGTTGATAACACTTCACTTCCCCAGTTCAGTGATCCTGGGAGCCTCAGGAAGAAACCAGAACATTTGAAGGGCAACTTAATCTGTACAAGCACATTTCTCTTTGTAGTGAAACTATACCATTAATTTCTAACTTTGGTTTCCAGCTTCTTTGCTGTCTAGCCTTCTCTGTCATGTATGAGGTGTGACTCTACATGCTCTCCTTTCTGGTTATGATACTAGTCAGATCACAGTGGAGCTGCATCACCCTGCTGGATTCTATGGTGGAGCTATGACCTCCCTCACAACTTCTTAATGCAGTGGCAAAAAACATAGGTCTACCCTCAATCCTTTGACCTTCCCTCATCCTTTTATTTTAGGAGATTTTTCTCTCTTCAACCAAGAAATAGTAAATCACAGTTCCATTAAAAAGTTTACATGGTATTATAAAATTTTAAAGAAGATAAAATTTATAATTTTTCTCTACATATTTTGCAAAATCTATGTTTACCTTCCTTTCCAAATTTAAGTAATCAATAGGAAAAAATTAGATATCCTAGAAATTTTATTACCATATTCTAAATGTTCAAGTACCAATAAAGAGTTAATATATGAGGGATGTGTGAAACCTTTGCCTTTGGCTCATCAGTTATATGATTTACTTAATAATCTTGGTTCTTCCTGGTTCTGTTTGCACTGAGATCCTTTCCTGCTTCTTTCTTTGCTTGCTATTGTATCGTGGAGGTAAGGTGGCTGTAGGAATGGGAGGAACTGAGTCCTGCCAGCTGCATTTCCAGGCTTCCATGTCTCTTGGCTCCTGGCTGGTTATGACTCAGGAAAACACTGTAGATCATTGGAAAGAGGGAAGAAAGAGAGAGGGAGCCAGCCATATTTCTTCCTCTGGGCCATAGTTGGCATTCCCAATTCATTTTTTCTCTCTCTTCAACTCCAACTGATAGGTCCATTATGATTGCATATTATCACAGGTGACCGTGTGCTCTAAGCTTTGATAAAACTACCTCTGCTCTGTGTCACTCCAGCCTAGGGATGGTGGCTTCCTGCAGTTGTTAAATCTAAGTTGCCACACCAATCTGATGGCTTCTTAATTCTTTTATCACATATGTAACCAATTAGCTTTATTAAATTCCTTCTGCTTCAAATACTGTTTTTCAATTAATATCCTAACTAATATCCAAGACATTACATTAATATATATAGCTGTCTCATATTTTTATCCCTTATAAGTTGATCAACTTCAGTGGTATGTTCTCAGTGGACCTTTAATGCTATTGATGGTGTTGATTATAACATGAAAATAAATGCATATTTTAACAGCCTTTCTCAGACTCCTCCTCAAAGCTAAAAAAAAGAAAAAAGTTGTTTTACCTTTATAGGAGTTTAAATTTCAAATATCTAGGTCAAATAATAATTGTGTAACTTTTGCTTTATATGAAGTAATTTTTTCATATAAAGTACAATTTTCTTTCTATTTCCTTTTATTTACCTGTGTATCAAAACACTAAGAAACTAAGCATCCAGACCTGATTTATAGACTCTTAGGTGCCAATTATATGCCAATTAACTAACAGTTGAATTCTGATATTTGAAATAACTTAAAAATGTTAAATAGTATGGTTTTACTTATTTTATGGGCAACAATATATTTTCATATAATATAATCTGCAAAAATTCCATTTTTTCATAAAAGTGAAATATTCTCAATCTAAAAAGTTACAGATATTATTGCCATGTTAAGCAAGGATATCAGTTCCCACTTCACATTTGGATAGTGGTTAGTTATATACTTTAAGCATTGTATTTTACAAAACTCATGTGCTCTGGTTAAACAGAAATAACAATTTACAGTCAATTAAACCCAGTAAGAAATTTCCCTTGTCACTTAAAAACTGAACCAAAGCCAATAGGTCTTGCATTCTAACTGCAGAATGGCCCATTTACACAGCTTCTGCTAATGTAGTAAGACTTTGAATGGGCCAAAGTCTTCTAAGTTTCTGACAAAGGACTTGGAAATTTCCTGTAATTACTACCTCTGGGTATTTTGCTGTAATGATGTATGTGAAAGGGATTAGAAAAATATATGGGTAAATTAATATGATAATTGCTACAGCTTTGTTACATTTTATCATTTTATTGCAGCTTATGAGTTCAGCTGCAAATGGCTTTGGTTATTTTCTTTGCACAGGGCTTAAAATTTTTCCATGGTAGACTTTCTGCTCCTACCTACACATCATGCTCCTCCAGAGGGATCAGCTCTCTCATACCCTGGTGTCTTTTTCTCTAGCTGGAACTCTGTAGACAGAACAAATCAACACCCTGATACAGTAAGAAAATAATGTACATATCTTGCTTGATCCATTTTTACTTGTGCAGAAGCATAAACTTTGTCTACATAATTAACACCAGCAGATTCCCAACAGTTATTTTACTCACTGCCCTACTGCATTACTCAATATGCTATTCTGTAGTATGAATTGTATCCCCCTGGTAATCCACCTAAGAACTCTTGAGAAATCAGCTAACCTTAGGTTACCCCAATTTCACTCCAATGCTGGGGTAAAATTTGCTTTCCTATATAGTAAAACAGCTGGTTAGGAAACATTTTAACAGAAAAATCACAAAGAAGTAACTAGAAATAATGAGCAAACCTCTGTGATAATGGTTTATGCAAAGCAGGGGGTAGGAAGGGGAGGAGTAAAGATGGTGGAATAGGAGGATACGGAATTCGTATCTCCTCACAAGTACCTCAAGAATACATCTACAAATGGAATAATTCTCACAGGGTACCTGCTGAACATTAGCGGAAGACTTCAGACACTTAAAAGGACAAGAAAAAAATCCCCTCACAACTGGGTAGGATGAAAGAAAGAAAAGAGGAATCAAAAAAGGAATCAGCACCCCTGGCAGGAAGCTGAAGGTGAGGAGAGGTTCCCATATTCAGAAAAACCTCCTCACGGTTGGGGAATCAGCTGGGACAGGAAGGAACCTCCAGGGGATCGAAGGGGAGTGCAGCGGATGGTGTGGAAGGCGGGACAAAGTAAGAACGATGTGCCTGGCGTGTGCCGCAGCCCTGTGTACCCTGGCTTGAGCCGTGTGTCTTCCGTTTTGGAGTGGGGCTGGGTACTGGAAAGTGGGGTTTGGAGCACGGACACAGGGAGGGGACAGCTAGTGGCTGTGAAATACAGCCTAAAGGGACGGGAGTAAGGAGCTCCACAACTGGAAAAATTTACAGAAGAAACCAGGGACACTATAGAAGCAAGGTATCATTGTTGAGTGGCACACGAGGGGCGAGGCCGCCATTGCTACCCCTTTCCCCACCCACCGACTTCTGCCTCTGAGGGAACTGGGAGGGCCACCCATCTGAGCAGGCTCACCACCCCTCAGTCCAAGGCCTCCTTGTCCACACAGGCTCAGGGGTCCTGAGTGCCACCTATACCAAAACCTCCTTGGGAATCAGCCCTGGGCATGCCTGCCTGAGACAGGAATCTGCTAAAGCTGGCAGGAGCTGAGTGCTAAAGTGTGGAGTTAGGAGAGCGGGTCCAGAGAGAGGACCACTGTTGGTTGCGTGGACACAACAGAGAGGATGGGAGTGAAGGGTTCCACGAGCGGGAATGCCCCTAGAGGAAGCGTGGTCTGTCTAGGAAACAAGGCGCCATTGTTGACTGGCGCACAAGAGGCGGGGCTACCACCACCACCACACGCCAGCCCCTGCCTCTATGGGCACTGGGAGGGACTCCCACCAGAGCAAACGCGCCACAGTCTGTTGCAACTGCCTGCCGGTCTCTGCTGCCACAGGCACTTTGCGCCACCCCAGCTGTGGCCACCACACCCCTCCCCAACCTGAGTAAGTGTGCCCCAATCGGCTGCTGCTTTCACTCCCTCTTGCCTGGGCGGGAAACAGATGCCAGAGGGTCTGTGATGCCGGAGGGTCTGACCCACATGCAGAGGCAGGGCCAAAACCAAAGCTGAGCCCCAGGGGCAGAGAAACTGAGGAGGAGGAATGGAAATCTCTCTGTGTGGCTGCACAAGCCGCGGAATAAATCCCCATGATCAGCTTGGTAAATCCTGTGTCTGTGGAATATCTGAATATACAAGTGTTCTCGCAACTGACACTGGTCTAGGTTTAGCAGCAGTGGACTCTGGGGGCAAGTACACGTGGGAGCTGGGCCAACTCAGAGTCTGAGCTGCCCCCACAGTGCCAACAGCGGGTCCAGAGACCTACCTAGAGGTATTGCAGAGCCTCCTCGGGAGGCAAGGGTTGGCTGTGACTCACAGTGGGAACAAGGACACCTGACAGCAGAGGCCCCAGGAAAATATTCATATTACTATTACTCTTTTTTTCTCTGTTTTGTTTTGTTCAGTTGTTGCTGTTGCTGTTTTTATCATTTTTTAATTTTACTTTTTAATTTTTGTACATTTTTATTTTTCTATTTTTACTTAACTTTTTTGCTGTTTTGTATTTTTTCTTCTCTTTGTTCTCTTGTTTTACTGTTTTGTGTGTTTGTTTTATGTTTTCTTAGCTTTTTTTTTTTAGTTTGCTTTCTATTTTTGTGGGGGTTTTTTGTTAGTCTTTATTGATTGTTTTCATTTTTGAGCTCTTTGTTCTCTTGGTTTTTTTGGTTTGCTTTTGTCCGTTTCTTTGTTTGTTTCTCTTTGTTTGGATTTGTTTTTATAATTCGTCTTGGATTTGGTTTCTCTTTGTTTTCTTTTTTCTTTTCTCCTTTTTCTTCTGTGTTGTTGCTTTTTGTTGTTGTTGTTTTTGCTATTTGTCTTGGGTTTTGTTTGTTTGGTTTTTTTCCTTTTTATTTTCTTTTACTCTGGCCACACTGAGTGACTTGCAGGCTCTTGGTTCCCTGTCCAGGGGTTCGGGGTGGGCCTCTGGGGTGGGAGCACCAAGTCCAGGATGCTGGACCACCAGAGAATTCCCAGGCCCAGGGAATATTAATCAGTGTGCACTCTCTTGGAGGTATCCATCTCAACACAAAGACCCGGCTCCACCCAACTGCCTGCAGGCTCCAGTACTGGATACCTCACACCAAACCACCAGCAAGACAGGAACACGGCCCCACTCATAAGCAGACAGGCTGCCTAAAGTTGTATTAAGCTCACAGACACCCTAAAACACACCACCTGATGAGGCCCTGCCTATCAGAGGGAAAAGACTCAGCTCCACCCACCAGAGAGCAGGCACCAGTGCCTCCCACCAGGAAGCCTACACAAGCCCCTGGACTAACCTCACCCACAGGGGGCAGACAACAGAAGCAAGAGGAACTATGACCCTGCAGCCTGAGGGAAGGAGACCACAAACACAGTAAGTTAGACAAAATGAGGTGACAGAGAAATACGTTGCAGATGAAGGAGCAAGGTAAAAACCCACAAGACCAAATAAATGAAGAGGAAATAGGCAATCTACCTGAAAAAGAAATCAGAGTAATGATAGTAAAGATGATCCAAGATCTCAGAAATAGAATGGAGGCACAGATAGAGAAGATACAAGAAATGTTTAACAAGGACTTAGAAGAACTAAAGAACAATCAGTGATGAACAACACAATAACTGAAATGAAAAAATATGCTAGAAGGAATCAATAGCAGAATAACTGAGGCAGAAGAATGGAAAAGTGAGCTGGAAGGTAGAATGGTAGAAATAACTGGTGTGGAGCAGAATAAAGAAAAAAGAAAAAAAAGAAATGAAGACAGTCTCAGAGACCTCTGGACAACAATAAATGCACCAAAATTAAAATTGTAGGGGTCCCAGAAGAAGAAAAAGAGAAATGGTCTAAGAAAAAGTTTGAAGAGATTATACATAAAAACTTCCTGAATATGGGAAATGAAATAGTCACCCAAGTCCAGGAAGTGCAGAAAGTGCCATACAGAATAAACCCAAAGAGAAACCCTCCAAGACACATATTCAAACTAAAAAAAAATTAACTACAAAGAAAAAATATTAAAAGTAGCAAGGAAAAAACAACAAATAACATAAAAGGGAATCCACATAAGGTTAAGAACTGATCTTTCAACAGAAACTCTGCAAGCCAGAAGGGAGTGGCAGGACATATTTAAAGTGATGAAGGGGAAAAACCTACAACCAAGATTACTCTACCCAGCAAGGATCTCATTCAGATTCAACAGAGAAATCAAAAGCTTTACAGACCAGCAAAAGCTAAGAGAATTCACCACCACCAAACCAGCTTTATAACAAATGCTAAAGGAACTTCTCTAGGCAAGAAGCACAAGGGAAGGAAAAGACCTACAATAACAAACCCAAAACAATTAAGAAAATTATAATAGGAATATACATACTGATAATTACTTTAAATGTAAATGGATTAAATGCTCCAACCAAAAGACACAGACTGGCTGAATGGATACAAAAACAAGACCTGTATATATGCTGTCTACAAGAGACCCACTTCAGACCTAGGAACACATACAGACTGAAAGTGAGGGGGATGACAAAAAGATATTCCCTGCAAATGGAAATCAAAAGAAAGCTAAAGTAGCAATACTCATATCAGACAAAATAGACTTTAAAATAAAGACTATTACAAGAGACAAAGAAGGACACTACATAATGATCAAGGGATCAATCCAAGAAGAAGATAGAGCAACTGTAAATATTTATGCATCCAACATAGGAGAACCTCATACATAAGGCAAATGCAAAAAGCCATAAAAGGGGAAATTGCTGGTAATACAACAAAAGTGGGAGACTTTAACACTCCACTTACACCAATGCATAGATCATCCAGACTGAAAATTAATAAGGAAACACAAGACTTAAATGACACATGAAACCAGATAGACTTAACAGACATTTATAGGACGTTCAATCAGAAAGCAGCAGAATACACTTTCTTCAAAAGTGCACATGGAACATTCTCCAGGATAGATCATATCTTAGGTCACAAATCAAGCCTTGGTAAATTTAAGAAAATTGAAATCATATCAAGTATCTTTTCCGACCACAACGCTGAGACTAGATATCAATTACAGGAAAAAATCTGTAAAAAATACAAACACATGGAGGCTAAACAATATGTTATAAATAACCAAGAGATCACTGAAGAAATCAAAGAGGAAAAAAAAAAAAAAAAACCTAAAGACAAATGATAATGAAAACGCAATGATCCAAAACCTATGGGATGCAGCAAAAGCAGTTCTAAGAGGGAAGTTTGTAGCAATACAATCCTACCTCAAGAAACAAGAAAAATCTCTAACAAAAAACCTAACCTTACACCTAAAGCAACTAGAGAAAGAAGAAGAAAAACAGGAACAACAAAAAACCCACCAAAGTTAGTGGAAGGAAAGAAATCATGGAGATCAGAGCAGAAATAAATGAAATAGAAATGAAGAAATTAATAGCAAAGATCAATGAAACTAAAAGCTGGTTATTTGAGAAGATAAACTAAATTGATAAACCTTTAGCCAGACACATCAGGTAAACAATGGAGAGGACTCAAATCAACAGAATGAGAAATGAAAAAGGAGAAGTTACAACAGACACCACAGAAATACAAAGGATCATAAGAGACTACTACAAGCAACTATATGCCAATAAAATGGAGAACCTGGAAAAAATGGACAAATGCTTAGAAAAGTACAACCTTCTAAGACTGAACCAGGAAAAAATAGAAAATATGAACAGAGCAATCACAAGCACTGAAATTGAACCTGTGATTAAAAATCTTCCAACAAACCAAAGTCCAAGACCACATGGCTTCACAGGCAAATTCCATCAAAATTTAGAGAAGAGCTGACACCCATCCTTCTCAAACTCTTCCAAAAAATTGCAGAGTGAGGGGCACTCCCAAGCTCATTCTATGAGGCCACCAGCACACTGATACAAAAAACAGGCAAAGATATCACAAAAAAAGAAAATTACAGGCCAATATCGCTGCTGAGCATAACACAAAAATCCTCTACAAAATACTAGCAGACCAAATCCAACAACACATTAAAAGGATCATACACCATGATCAAGTGGGATTCATCCCAGGATGCAAGGATTCTTCAATACACGCAGATCAATCAATGTGATACACCATGTTAACAAATTGAAGAATAAAAACCATATGATCATCTCAAGAGATGCAGAAAAAGCTTTTGACAAACTTCAACACCCATTTATTATAAAAATTCTCCAGAAAGTGGGCATAGAGGGAACCTACCTCAATATAATAAAGGTCATATATGACAGACCCACAGCAAACACCATTCTCAATGATGAAAAACTGAAAGCCTTTCCTCTAAGAACAGGAACAAGATAAGGATGTCCACTTTTGCCACTATTATTCAGCATAGTTTTGGAAGTCCTAGCCACAGCAATCAGAGAAGAAAAAGAAAAAAAAGGAATCCAAATTGGAACAGAAGAAGTAAAACTGTCACTGTTTGCAGATGACATGATACTATACATAGAAAATCCCAAAGATGCCACCAGAAAACTACTAGAGTTCATCAATGAATTTGGTAAAGTAGCAGGATACAAAAGTAATGCACAGAAATCTCTTGCATTCCTATACACTAATAACAAAAGATCAGAAAGAGAAATTAAGGAAACAATCACATTTACCATTGCAACTAAAAGAATAAAATACCTAGGAATAAATCTACTTAAGGAGGCAAAAGACCTGTACACAGAAAACTATAAGATACTGATGAAAGAACTCAAAGGTGACACAAACCTTTGGAGGAGAGATGGAGAGATATACCATGTTCTTGGATTGGAAGAATCAATATTGTGAAAATGACTATGCTACTTAAAGCAATCTAGATTCAATGCAATCCCTATCAAATTACCAATGGCATTTTTCACATAATTAGAACAAAAAATCTTGAAATTTGTATGGAGACACAAAAGACCCCGAAGAGCCAAAACAATCTTGATAAAGAAAAATTGAGCTGGAGGAATCAGGCTCCCAGACTTCAGACTATACTACAAAGCTATAGTAATCAAGACAGTATAGTACTGGCACAAAAACAGAAATATAGATCAATGGAAAAGGATAGAAAGCCCAGAGATAAACCCACGCACCTATGGTCACCTAATCTATGACAAAGGAGGCAAGAATATACAGTGGAGAAAAGACAGTCACTTCAATAAGTGATGCTGGGAAAACTGGACAGCTACATATAAAAGAATGAAATTAGAACACTCGCTAACACCATATGCAAAAAATAAACTCCAAATGAATTAAATACCTAAATGTAAGACCAGACACTGTAAAACTCTTAAAGGAAAACATGGGCAGAACACTCTTTGACAAAAATCACAGCAAGATCTTTTTTGACCCACCTCCTACAGTAATGAAAATAAAAACAAAAATAAACAAATGGGACCTAATTAAACTTAAAATATTTTGCACAGCAAAGGAAACCATAAACAAGATGAAGACAACCCTCAGAATGGGGGAAAATATTTGCAAATGAAGCAACTGACAAAGGATTACTCTCCAAAATATACAAACTGCTCATGCAGCTCAATATCAAAAAAACACACAACTCAATCAAAGAATGGGTGGAAGACCCAAATAGACATTTCTCCGAAGAAGACAAACAGATGGCCAAAAAACATGTGAAAAGATGCTCAACATCACTAATTATTAGAGAAGTGCAAATCAAAACTACAATGAGGTGTCACCTCATACCAGTCAGAATGGCCATCATCACAAAATCTACAAATAATAAATGCTGGAGAGGGTGTGGAGAAAGGGGAACCCTCTTGCACTATTGGTGGGAATGTAAATTGATACAGCCACTATGGAGAACAGTATGGAGCTTCCTCAAAAAACTAAAAATAGAACTACCATATGATCCAGCAATCCCACTCCTGGGCATATACCCAGAGAAAACCATAATTCAAAAAGATACATACACCCCAATGTTCATTGCAACACTATTTACAATAGCCAGGACATGGAAGCAACCTAAATGTCTATCAACAGAGAAATGGATAAAGAAGATGTGGTACATATATACAATGGAATATTACTCAGCCATAAAAAGGAACGAAATTGTGTCATTTGCAGAGATATGGATGGACTTAGAGACTGTCATACAGAGTGAAGTAAGTCAGAAAGAGAAAAACATGTGGAATGTTTTATATAATGTTCCGCATATGTGTGGAATCTTAAAAAATGGTATAGATGATCTTATTTGCAAAGCAGAAATAGAGACACAGTCGTAGAGAACAAACGTATGGATACCAAGGGGGGAAGGGTGGGGGGGGGTGCTGGGATGAAATGGGAGATTGGGATTGACATATATACACTAGTATATATAAAATAGATAACAAATGAGAACCTACTGTATAGCACAGGGAACTCTACTCTGTGGTGACCTAAATGGGAAGGAAATCCAAAAAAGGGGGAATATATGTATACATACGGATGATTCACTTTGCTGTACAGCAGAAACTGACACAGCAATGTAAAGCAACTATACTCCAATAAAAAATGAAAAATAAAAAATAAAAAGCAGGGGATGGGGGTGTTATGGATGGAAATGTGACAGGTCAGTGTTAAGTGCTCTAAAAGTATGAAAGAATGAATCAAGAAGGCACAGTGAGTGGTAGAGGGGAGATCCCCTGTGCTAATTACCAACTAATTGCCTTTCAGCTCCAAACCCACCTTTCTTGTCTCTGCGTTCTGATATAGAATCTGAGAGGGCAATCGACATTTCGGCTTTGCCAGTTGGATCCATGTTAGACTCCACCAATAGGGGGCGCTAAAGGAAACTGGGAGAAGGGAAAAGGTACTTGCATCTTCCTGATTGCTTCCTGTGGGCATCCTGCCTTGCTCTTGCTTCGTGACTATCATCCAAGCTACTCTTTTTCACTTCAACAAGAGCTGTTCCTTCCCATAGAAAATACAGAATCCAGGTTTCAGTTTTTCCAAAACTTACAGAACCAGCTTCATCACATGCTGCTCCTCAGAGACACTAGCATCAGCTGACTTCCAAGGCCTGGTTCCCAAGTTTCTAAGTTTTAGTAATTCCAGTGTGTTCTATAAGGATGGTAGGTGTTTCTTGCAATTGCTACCTCCATGAGAGCTTATAGTTCCTTTTTACCCTTTTAATTATTTAACTAATAACTTTATACTTCATTAACAATTCATACAAAATTCTCTTCTTTCTAATATGTAATATCATTTTTGTTTCCCTACTGGACCATGGCTGATACTGCTCTCAAAGAGACAACTAGATCATGAATTGTTCTTTAGAAAGTCGTAAAACCCACCCTACCAAAATGAAAAGGTGAAAAGAAGACCCAGAATGGTGGCAGAGGAAAAGCGTGGAAGGTAAGAGTTGCCATAAAAAGCTAGAACAATATTCTTTTTGAAAAATAAGTAAGTCAGTGAAGGTCAAAGAAATAAAATGAACTTGACCTTGAGGGAAGCTGATAGCACAACAATTCTGGCTTGTAGTGCATCAGAGCTCACCCCAACTCCTCTCTCACCTATGCTTCAATCCTACTAACTATGAATTTCAGAAAGATATGCAGACACCATGAGCGTAAGGACTTCATGAGATACTTAGCATTAATGATGGAGCATGGTAAAATGAATAGTTGTTATGTATCTCTTTATATCTATAAATCAGCTAATATTCTTTTCTATGAAAGGTGGGTAAGATTGCCTTTTCCATTAATTTGCTAATATTAATAGAAATTCTAGAAGTATAAACCACATGAAGTTAGCCTTCACCAAGTTAGTCATTGTGAGATATAATTAAAAACTGTGGCTGATTCAGGATCTAAAGAACAGAGATTTATACATTGGTCCATTAGTTATTTCCAGTAGAACATATGTAAAATAAAGAGCTTTATGAAGAAATCAAAGAACTGAAAGAAAATGTAGGTGAATATATATATTATTGGGAACGGAAAACGACTTTTGAGACAAAATAATGTCAGAGATCATTAAAAGGAAATTTTATAAATTTAACAACATTAAAATTTGAAACATCAGTACCCTAAAAATGACCATAAATAAAAAGTAAAAGACAGACTGAAAATATTAATGATATAAACCTTAGTATAGTTTATAAATAGGCAATCATAAATCAAAATGATAAATACACTAATAGAAAAAAGGAAACAGTGGTTAATATATAATTCATAAACAGAAATACTACTCAATAAACATATCTAACAATTAAAAATGTATTAAATGAAATAATATTTTTCTTGTTTCAAACAAAGAATTTAGGGAAATGAGTACCTTCCACAGTAGAGCAGGGTTATGGGAGAGGATATTGTTTACAGATTTTCATCAAACAACTTGACAAGAGATATGTATTTTTTAAACTCTAAAGTATTTATACTTTTTAACCTAGTAATTCTTTTCCTTCAAATTAATCAACAGAGGGCCTCCCTGGTGGCACAGTGGTTGGGAGTCCGCCTGCCGATGCAGGGGACGCGGGTTCGTGCCCCGGTCTGGGAGGATCCCACATACCCCAGAGTGGCTGGGCCCGTGGGCCATGGCCGCTGAGCCTGCGCGTCCGGAGCCTGTGCTCCGCAGCGGGAGAGGCCACAGCAGTGGGAGGCCCGCGTACCCAAAAAAAAAAAAAAAAAAAAATTAATCAACAGAAATGATCAGAAAAGTGGGCAAAACATATGTTGGAATTGTTAACAATTTTAAAGCAACTCAAATATTTGCAGGAGAGGATTAATTATATTATTATAAGATTACAAAAAACAGAATATTAAAATATAATATTTGTTGATTTAGAAAAAGTTCATATTTTATTTGCTCAAAAAACAAATATATATGCCTCATGATGTTATTGTTAGACTGTACTCTGTCAATATGCATATTTCTACTGAAAGGAAATATACCAAAATGATAAAGTTTATTTCTGGGTGGTGGGAAAATTGCTGACTGAAAATTTGTATTTTCTATTTCTTCTGAGATTATATTTTTGTCTGATATTTTAAATTCTTTTTGCCTTCCCAAATCTGTTCAAATGTAGTACTAAAATTATTGTGCCCCTCAGTTTTCTCAGTTCCTTCTCAGATTGCAATGTTTTTTGTAGTTGTTAATCATTTGCTTTTTGGGATTTTGCAGTTAGGGAAGAGAAGTGAATAAAGAAAGCTATAAATTATTTCACAAAATTAAACAATACATTCATAAGTTTCATTGTTATTTTGTAGCATTTAGGGAGGGTCTACATATTACCTCACCCCTGATAATTTTCTATTTCCTCTCTCTGAATTAAACCCTGATTCTGAACTCTAGTTCTTTTTTCTGATTAAAATAATTAAGGAAATAGAAAGAAATAATGTGCATTATTTGGAGAAGGACTGTCCCCTCTTCATACAAAGTTATATATATCCTATTAACATTTTCCCAAATATACCTGTGTTTACTTTGAGAATGGAATTATTCCCTTATCATTTTCTTTATGATAGAGTTTTTAAAACATTAGAATTAAATTCCTCATGCTTTTTTTTGAAACCAAATGAAGAAAATTCTTAAAGATATTTCTCTCCATCTCAGCATTCTTCTTTAAAGGAAAAAATAAATAAATATTTAGAAGTCCTATGTAATAGTCAACTTGAAATATGTAAGTTGTAGTCAATAATACAAGGAAGGCATTTTTCCCACATTTCCTGAGCCCATTAAACACAGTCAGGCACAGATGTGTACAGCTTCTCAGAAGAATCTACAATATCATGACATTATTTAACCAGAGTGGAAAAATACTTCTCTTATTCCACAATGTTGAAACAGAGTCACCAGTGTTTAAAGTTAAAAAAAAAAATTATTGAAGATGAATGGAAAGCCTTATCAAGTTAATTTCATGCTATTTCACCGTAAACTCCTGTTAGTCCTCTGGGTTTTATATATTATGGCATGCTAGTAAAGAACATATTAGAAAATGTTACACCATTGAACAATTACTGATGGCCATGTTAAACTCAATAGATGGTAGTTGAGAGATTTGCCAGTGTAAATGCCACTTTCTAAACTGTAAGGGAAATATGATTTACCTACCTATATTGGTGGTTTTAATCTAACAGAGGAATTAATACAAGAAATAACTGGTAACTTTGAAAGTATCACAATAAAAATACATATGCAAAGCTTTCATTTAATTGATATTGGAATTGGAAAAGAGTAATAGAATGTCAGTATAATAACTAAAAAGAAATACTGACAATTACTTTTCATAGTACATAAGTAGTGAAACATGCATGATAAAGAAAAAAGTCTCTTTGAATATGCACCTTCTTAATTACAAATTCACTTATTGCTTTCTCCTGTCATTAAAAAATGTATTTGTGGAGAGAAATTGGAGCTAACGATTTTAAAATTAAAGTTCATTGTATTGATAAATTCAATTTCATACTTTCTCTCACAAAATCAAATATTTTATATCAAGTTAAATTGTAATTTATATCTGGTATAGGCACATCTTTCCTTTCATTCTTTCACTATCATACAGTATAGGTATACCATATTTAAACTATATGGTATCAAACCATGCTTTTTTTCAGAATGAAGAACAATTTTTATTCCAATTCCCATGCTTTTCTTCATCTGAGAATAATTAACAATTTTCTACAAGTAAAGAAATTACCCCACTTAAATGCTATACACTTGAAATTCTGCAAAGGGATGACTGTGTAATGGAGCTTAGATCTATGTAGAAGCATGCACTGCCTGTCCCAGTATATGGCAAATGAACCATTTGCTTTAACATTTTCTAAAATTACTCTGAAACTGGTTCTTTTTTGACCGTGTGAGAAATACTGAACTTGGACTTTGAAACTTTGTTGTGATATCTTTTGCTCTGAGTTTCAAGACCTTAGAGAATATACCTTTCTAGAATAGTCTCAGTGTGACAGCTCTAGTGACAGGGAGGATGGATGAATTGAGCTTTCAGAGCCTGAAGACAAAGACTCCACTCACTTCAATGCCAAGCCCAACAAGTAACCAGGTTCTACATATAAGGAGAGACTGTGCTCCTCCACAGAGAGTAGTATCTGGTTAGTTTTTCTTGACTATGAAATAACTGATCTTGGAAACTTCTTTATTGTCTTTATGAAATGAGGCAGAAAATGCAAACCTCTTTAACACAAAAGCCTCATTAAGACTGTTCTTTAAGGAATGCTATTAACCTCAATTTTCCTCACTCTTGGTTGCAGAATCCTCCCAGTTCATTTCACCACCTAAAAACACATGCTTTAATTCTTACTGAACTTACACTCTATATTAAAAATTATATATAATTTACTATCTGTGGTTATATATAGTAACTATAAAGAATGTACAAAATATAATTCTGATATCAGGATTTAGCTGCTTCTCACTTAGGACCTAGGGCATTTTAAAGTTTGACCTTTCTTATCTGGTTCTTTTTCTGCTTGTCTCACAACACTCCTAACCCATTCAGCTGGTACTGACAAGTATGTTTCTTATTCTAGTTTCTTTAATCAGACAATTTAATCTGACTCCTCTGTGTCTATGGTCTGACTGTGGCTGATATTGTTACACTGGTTCAGCATTCAGCAGCCACAGATTTTGGGAAATAGGTGTCAAAATACTTATTGTAAAAGAGAATCCATCCCCAATAGGAATGGAAATGGAAAATAGGTGAAATATTAGATTAAAAAAATGAACACAACTATATTTCTTTTGTGATATTAAATACCACTGATAGTCCCCACCCGTCAC